ACTTACCGTAGTCGTCGCAGCGAGGTACCGAGTAATTGTTGAAGCGAGGAATAAGCCCCCCTGACACCAAGTTGGTGCGCATGATGTCCGACGGATGCGAGCACAAGGGCTGGCACAAGCACGTGCAGCGGCCTGCGTACCATGTGCTTGTGTGCACCCACACGTCTTGAACGCCCCAGGAAGGCGGGAAGTCGGCAACAGCCAACTCCAGGGTCGCGGCAACGAGCAGCATGGACTTTGCCATCACCATGTTTGCCCGAGGGGTCAATTGAAATATGATGTCGTTCTTGGCTCTGACGGGACGAAGAACGAAGATCAACTGCCACTATAACCTAGCTACTACTCATAACCTAGCTACAGTATTACTCATTTTTACTGGTTAATATGGGACACGCGGGCGGTGGTACATACTGTAATAACCTTAGGAACTACCTAGTACTAGTACTACGTAGTACATATTAATACAACTGCTCGTCGAATACAACGGTAGATGTGATCGAACTTTATAGCGAGGATATACATATTCATAAGTGGATTGAATGCGAAGGCCGTAGCTAGAGCTAGCAATCAGTGTGTGTGGGTGTGGTTGTTGAACGGTGGCAACATTGTATTGGAACGTGGAGAGGCTTTGCAAGTGAGAGGGAACCCCATCTGACAACACAATTGAAATAGAGTAGGGTTATGTATTGTGGATTCGGTACAAATTTCCAGACCCCGTCGAATCCTATCTCGCCCCGGAATCGAATCACGAATCCACGCTATTGGCTAAATCTATTATTGAGTGGATTTGATTGGCTCTTACAGCAAGTATTGTCCATTCAGCCAAAATTTGGACTTTTGTATTGTGGATTTCCTTGGTTCGAGCACAACTAAAACCGAGACCGTAGTATACTGGGAGATGAGGGAAACATGGTATTCGACAGATTCTCAGGCTGTTTTACTGGATCAAAACTTAGAACCAAATGCTTGACAGCTTGTCGACTTATCCGGATAGTTGTGATGTCGATGTCAATAATGCATATTTTACAGTTAAGAGACAAATCGAATACAACCTTTCAATGAAGTAAAATAAAATGTGCTAGTACTTAAGACTTACGGGACAGCATTGAATATTAATACCAACCTTGGATACTATGGTTAATATAATATAATTGTTGAATTAAAAGCATGATTATATATGTGGATGAAATTTGGATGACATTGGATGAAATTGGATGAAGTTGTGGGATGAAACCTAAAGTAGTGACCAAGCCTTACGTTGGCCCCGAGCGCCCGGGAGGCCGTCTGCGCAAGCGCGGCCGTACGAGAGCGCGGATCTAAGCTTCTCACTTCACCGAATGATCTATCTTTTCTTCTTGTCGGGCAGCGGCAGGTAGGCCGTAGGCCGTGCCGCTCCCGGACGAGGCGTGTATACAATGACCTAGCATTATCCTAATTTACTCTCATTTATTCTAATTAGGATATGACCTAATATTAATGGTGGATGACGTTGGGATGACGTTTGGATGACACATGATACTATCACGGATATTTGAAATCCATATAAATAATTATTAATACTACTTCGAAGTCTTATATTAATAGAATTTCAAACTACTAGATGAAATCCAATTATGGCGAATACCATTTCTAGATTCCGAATGTCCTTGTAGAAAGGACGATAAATCCGCAAGTACAGACGTTTGAATGACGATATTGCGCCAGCATATTCTTCGTAGCACAAGGTTC